TGACATGGTTTTTTAAAACAAGTTTGAGCTATGAATATATTCAATTTCTTTTTCTTCAAACTGCGCACCCCCAGGTCCACCACTCGGGCCCCAAATAGGGCACACTATCATAGAGTCTCTATGCGTTGTATTATTGTGTGTTCCTCTCAAACTTTCCGAAGGGCCGCGTTTGAATCTCCCACGCCAATCCTCTGGTGAATCTCCAGACCTGTAAAACAGGATGCTTTTATGCAATTAAATGGGTGTAAGGTCGATCAGATTCGAGTCCAAAGAGCAACATAAACACTAGCGAGCATGACTGGGAGCCAGCGGTCGCGAAATCGGCGAGATCGTAACTCTCCCTACACTCCAACACCTACAAGAAGATCGTCGTCTACGTCGTCACATTCGCGTACGACACGACTCTCTCAGTCGGCACAGCCGCCACTGCGGGAAGCCAATTCTCCTGTGACGATTCGAAGATCGCCTCGATTGACCACACTTCCAATAGCACCCTCCTCTGTGGCTTCCCCACACACCGATCCAGTTGCTCCTGATGTAGTTCAAGCCCACCCAGCTTCAAGCACAACTCCAGTGGTGCAGGCACTAGGTGCTCAACGTACAGACACGGAAGCGCTTGCTGCAGCGACATACTCTCGCTGCCACCAGCTCATTGTCCGACCTATATAGCCAAGCCTACATTTTCTCAGCGTGAGCAGTCTGGAGCGCAACTGGATGATGTTGCTCTCAATGGAGCGCCATTCAGAGATATACTGAAGAAGATTTGGGAGCGTTTCAGTCCTCGTGTAAAAGGCCAAGCTGTTAAGCGAGATAGCGCTTGGGCTGTGGAAATTCCAACGATAGCGGCCTGGAGTTAAGTGATGGCGTTCAAAGTAAATCGACGTCTTATTTCCAATACCAAGACCGACGTCGCATGGGATCGTTGGCTGACATCCACACAAGGTGAAACAGTTGGCTGACATCCACACAAGGTGAACAGTACTTCTTCTGGTCTACGAGTTTTTTTGGGAAAGACTCAGACCTGAAGGAGTTCAAGGACGCTTGCATCACACGAACATCAATAGATCAGTCGGGTGCTACGGCAGAACTTTGCCTTCAAGACGTCATGTCACAGCTACAATCTCACCGGGAAAACACCTTCCAATGTCCAGCAGTGGTTTGACGGATGTGGGGAAACCACATTACCAGAAACTTGAATCGATCTACATGGCAAGCAGCAATTACTCAATCTCCACCGGCCAGTTTGACACATCTATTACGGACTTCGACGTCGCACGTGGAACAACATCTACGGGATATCAACGACGCGACCAAGCTGGCGCTCAATTGCATTCACCCTTCGATAGTGGACTACAGCGAGTTACGTGACTCCATAAGAGCACTTGAAACTCGTATGGATGTTCGCGAGGCAAGCCTAGTGTCACGAAAAGAGATCGTCGAACAGTTCATACGAAACGTAATTCTGCTACATGATGTTCCTGACTCACTCGAGAACATAGAAAATCAAAGAGACGACGAACATCAAGATTGATTGACGCGATTACGCACTTTAGCTATTGATGACCTGCTAACCTGCATTTTACCTCGTTACAAAGCACAATTCATCCGTTTGATCTTCGACTTCATCTTCAACTTCTTTCTTGTGCTCTTCTTCATGGATGCCCTGAAACATGCCGGGTGCGGATCTATTCTCGTTTTCAAGTTTATGAATAGGATTAAATCTGCCTTGCACTTGCCAGCCGCAGTGCTGAAACACTCGTGACATGTCATAAGCTTCGAATCACCCAAAAGTTTGAACTATGAACGGCAGCATGTTGCGTCCACTAGATTTACTGTAGTGGCGCTGAAATGCCTTCTTCACAAACCTAAACATGTACTCGATCGGATTGTAAAAGGGGCAGTAAGCCGGTAGAAAAATCGGGACCACGCCAATACTCCGCAGAAAGGGAACGATTTCCGGGTGATAGTGAATGGAGGCATCGTCCAGTATCCAAACAGAATTCGAACCCGGATATTGCCGAACTTTACAACGCTTAGAAAACGCAAAATCACAGCAGCATTTCACGAATTCAATACGATCAAACGTTCCGTCTGTGGTATAGAAATCTATTATTCCGTTCACTCCAAGAAACGCCAGCATCGACACTCTCGGTTTCCGTTGAAAATCGATCCGAACCGCAAGCTTTGTGCCCCTAAAAGAATAGCCACATTTGCGAATCATTCCTCGATTATCAAAGGAGACTTCGTCAAGAAATACAAGATTATGATGATTCCAGTCGATACTGCTTAACTCAGCCACGAAACGATAGATACCCCCTCCTTGATGTGCAAAGCGCGCCGTTCCAGCACTTTCCAAGTCAAGCCAAAGTCATGAATGATCCTCCACACAGTTGACTTCGAAATCGATATATGAAACACTCGCTTAAAAGCAGGTTGGGCCTCGTCAAGATAGGATAGAGGTTTTGCATTGAAGTAATCGTAGCGCCATTGGCGATGCTCCGCTGTGAGCTACCTCTCCACGGCAGTATTCGCTCACTCGAATGCCCCGGTTGTTTCATAGACTCGTATCCAGATTCTAATAGTTTTCTCTGATTTGTTGAAGATGTGTGCGAGCTCACCAACAGAATATCCAAGATGATAGTATCCGTACAAACTGTGGTGGGCCTAGGGCTCACTAGTTAGCATACACGTGTGCGCACGTGTAGGAGGAAGCGTAGGTGTTCCTATGTTGTATAGCGTACACACGATGCGTGTGTACGGTAAGACAAGATAGGAGCTAGATAGCGTAAAATGAGAACTGTATTGTTTTCCTTAAAGGGTTTCCTTCCTTTGTCGAATATCGAAGGGACCGTCAGCGGGTGGTTGACAGTGATTCGCATCGCTGATTGGTAGAGATGTGGCGCACTCTACCAATAGGATCCCTTCAAATGCAGTCTTGGTGTGTGAACACACCACGACGGAAAATCTCTAACTCTAACCGATTAGCGTTACGGTTAGAGTTTCGTGTAAACCCGTTACACCACCCCCGTTAAGATTTGACGTGCTGGTCACAACACGTCAATCCAAGTCTTGACAAGTCCGTCAAGCCTCCGAGAGAACTCCGCGCTCATTTCGCAATGTGCGCGCCTCTGCGAACACTAGCGTCTTCGCCAGTGTCCGCGTCAACCGTAGCGTCGACGCCAGCACCCGTGCCAGCATCCGCGTCGACCTCAGTGTCGACGCCTGCGGCTGATCCCGCGTCCGCACCGGCCTCCGCTTCGGTGCATACTTCCGCGCCTGTGACGGCGGCAACGCCGACACCCCTAAGTGACACGACAGAGAAGAACTTCTCTGTCGACAAGTACTTCGAGCTCCAAGAGAAGAAGCTCGAGCTCGAGGCGAAAAAGCGCGCTGGGGCCGCGAAGACAGCCAGTCCGAAGACTGTCTTCGATGGTTCGTCGGTCCTCTCGACCGACGGTGGTATCCCCGTCGACTACGAGGAGGGAGAGCTTGAAGACGAGGAAATCTCGTCTTCCCAGTCATGTGACGCCAAGCCTGCGGCTGCCCCGTGAAGAAGATTCGGACGCTTCATCTTCGAAGCTTCTGCGAAGTGTTAGTGATGCAGTGCCTTCCACACCGGAGGCACTTGCCATCACCTCGGATCCACCTGTTGTTCCGTCGGAGCAACGTGATGCCCCGCGCACTGACGACTCAGTGCGCGAACCTTGGATGCCGTCTGAGAGTGTTATCACAGCACGGTACGGGCGCACGGTTCATCCGAACGTGATACCGTTGTACGTCGACAGTCGAATTGTCGACGACGCTGAAGCTGCCTCAAAGCACTTTGAGTCGATGACGAATCAAAGGCGAGATTATTATATCTCGCTTTTCCACGAGCTCCGGTACTGGAGCTTGAAGAAGACTTCGGGGCGAAGCAGGGTGCCCGAGTGGCAGGCACTCTGTCAAACCTGGAATCAATTTGTTGAAAAGTTCAACAAAGGCTCGACAGCTTATCGCGAACGAATCGCTTCAGCTCGTGAGCGCTTCATGAGGTACTCCGTTACCTCTGTCGTCCAACGCGTTCACGAAGGTTCGGTGAACGCGAATATTCCTTTGCAGTGCCAGTGGGCATTCACTGCCCGCACTGTCCTCCTGGTGCTCCCCGCATCAGCGAGAGAGACCTCACCGGGTACACGACTAACCGTGTACCTGCAAACGTTAAGGAGCTACGTGCTAAACTCGCTTGTACGCGTCAGCATCCTAGTGTTGTGTCTGAGCACAACACTTCGCGAAACACTGCGCCCCGCAGTGTTACGCCTCCAGTCCATGGTGGGCTTCGTACTCCCTCACCATTTCCGGAACGTCCGTCATCAGGACGTTTCGGGGAAACCACGTGTCTCGAAGGAGACCCGATTGTCCCCAACGAATACGAAAACGAACCGGACCTCGGTTCGTCTTCGGACTGGTTTGGTCTACAATCCGATCCACCGCGAGGTGGATCGTACCGCGGACAGCGTTATGCTTCTGTCGGCGGTGCCGGACGCTCATCATATGGTCAACCCCAGATTGACCACAGTCTTCAGTCGCTCCACGCTCGCGTGGAGGCTCTTGAGAGCGTTCATGCTGTTCCGATCGCTGGCTGAAGCAGCAACTGAACTTGCAGAAGGCTTACGTACTCAGACAACCTCAAACATCCGTGTTGAGATGTCTGAACAAGTTCGCCTTCTCCGGGAGAAGGTGAAGGAGCTTGACGAGAAGCTGAAGTCGCGCCGCGCGTCGTCGTCGGCGAGTCATCATGGCTAGATGACTCGGGCTGCACGTATGGTTTCAAGCTCCCAACGTAGAACGTTGGGTGGAGTCTCATGTCGGAAGGTAGTTCCAACGTGTATGCACTGCCGTGTCGTTCTGCCACCGTGAACGGTCCAATGAAGCGCGGAGCAAGCTTGCTTGCTCCGAATCCGGAAACTGCATGTGTAGGCAGGTTTTGAGTAGATAACAAAATCAATGAACCAACTTTGAATTCATTTGTGTTTCCCCTGCCCACATTGTCTGTGTTCAGCTTCTGCCTGTCCGCAGAAGATGCAATTGCATCTTGTACAAATCGAACGACTGCTTGTCGTTCCTGGACAAAGTCCATTGCTTGAGAGCTGAACCCCGAGTCCAGTTCATTGACCTTGTCCGCGTCTGTGCCCTGCACAGACCCGCCACTTGTGTTCGCATCAGTCCCAGACTGTGCGTGACTCTTTGTGGTGTCAGTGCCCGGCATTGACACCTTGTGTGTGATCGCAGCAGGTCTAGCCTGTGCGTGAAGCTTCTCAGTATCGATGCCCGGCATCGATACATCACTTGTGCGTGCAACAGGGCCGGCTTGTGCGTGAGTCTTCTCGGTGTCTGTGCCCCGCACAGACACGTTGTCCTTCGACGAAGCAGGTGTCGCCTGCTCGTTGTTCTTCACAGAGTCAGTGCCCGGTACTGTTGACACGTCGCCTTGCCGTGTTCGGGCTCTAGCTCGCACGTGTTATCACAGCTGATAGGTCCGTATCAGCTGTATTCTGCGGTTGTTCGTGCGCAACCGTAGACCTCCCAAACTTAAGGAGGAAGCCACCGCCCCGAGCGTGCTCGGAAGGCGTGGATGCCGCATGGCGTTCACGAAGAACGGTGTATGCCCGGTC